ACATTGAATTTACAGAAACTGGAGAGGGTACGTCGAAAAATGACAGCACAGATGGAGCGAAGGAGGCCCAAAAATCCACCGAGAAACTTGTGGAAGATCATGACAGCTTCAAAGTGTCCTTTGACGTGTCCAAATTCAAGCCAGAAGAAATCACTGTTCGCTCAGAACGTGGAGAGTTAGTGGTGGAAGGCAAGCAAGAAGTGAAGAACGAAGATGGCTGCTCCACACGTCATTTTGTTCGGGCCTACTCATTACCCAGGAATATCGATCGCGATTCTTTCCAGTCTCGGCTGTCAAAAGATGGAATACTGAGCATCGAGGCGAAAAAACTGCAGCGGACTGAAGCAAAGGATAATCATATCAAGATCGAGACAGAAGTAGACTGAAGAATTCAGACACTGCTACTTTATACAGAACTTTGGACACTGACAGCAACTATTGACTCACAAAGCGATTAAACACAGCTGCTTGTATAATTTTTTTGTTGTCTCCTAGCTATAGATGCAAACTTCTGTTGTAGAAGTAAAACAAAAAAAAAAAATAATGTTGTAGCTGCACCTATTTTAAAAATGTTGAAATAGTAAAAAAATAAAATAAAATGCTTTATACGCTGTGGTCTTGTAGCTTCTTGTGCACAAAGTGCTGACTCATCTTAATTTCAGGTATGGGTGGGTCTTCCAACACCTTTCCCATCTTTTACTTAATTAGATCCTCTGCCCAAGTGGTACTTTACTAATATTAATGACTACCCATCCCTTTATTCTTGTACTATAAATTTAAGGAAACTCACTGACAACAAGAGATCTAGGGGGGCTACCCGGTGTTCATTCCCACAGCTTCACTCCAAGCCCTGGCTAATGTCCCCATGTTACCTCTCTCCACAAGTAAGAATGGTTGCCGGCAAATTTTTCAGCTTTTACTGGATTGTTTAACACAGTGGCTACATTTATTGGACTGTTTGTAATCCAGAAAGGAGAATACACTTGCCTTCGTGTTAGTTTTAATTTTAATCAATCAATTCTGCTAAAGTGCAATTTTGCACTTCACAGATCAAAGAAGAAACATTAATGATATTATTATCATTGACAATGTCAGTGTTAATGCACAAGGACAGTCCTTCATTTAGATATCACATGTATTGTAAAAAATAAAAAGCAACTTAATTAATTGTCGCAATATTATAGACTACAAGTAGTCTCTCATTTTTCTTAGGGATTGAGCGTGCGGAAATTAACTCGCCGCCTCGCATTGCGTCTCCTCGCGGGAGTAGATTTCACTCAATCCCCGAGAAAAATGAGGGACTACTCGTAGTCTATCGCAATAATTATTATTATCACACCTGGATTAATTTAAATACCATTAACTCACTGGATTACGTACTAAAAAGTCTTAATATAATTATTAACAACAATACTACTAGCTTGTGTTTTCTATGATGATTAGTCCACCAGGCATCTATAGCTGAATTGACTATAAATCGTAGAAAAATAAATGTCACAGCACTTTTCAAATCCTAAATATGTTCAGAAAATCGCTGCCAAGTTGAACATGATTCATTGCAAACATAATACTAGAGTGTGTGGTTAATGATTGTACAGCAAATATATGCATGCACAGATTTGCAAATATGCAATTACATGCATGTAGCACGTCTGCATATGACAAACATTTCAGGGTCTAGAGTCAAGACGAGATCCTTCTTTTCCAAATGGTAGTGTGCGCTACAGTCCACTGATTTTTATGAGCAGTTTCCCTGATGAAGAAAGGCATGGGTTTGTCTTCGATCAACTCAAAGTTTGGTCCAAGGTAGCTCTTCAGCTTGTCAAACCCTGTAACAACTTTCCCATCAGCATCTTTATAGCCTCCAGGCCAGAGGTTCTGTGAGCAATAAATGAATAATGAGAATGGCAAGTTGTTTTGTTTGTTAAGCTGCAATAATTATTGATTCATTATCTCAATACCGTGTGGCATGAAATTTTCGCGGGATCTAATTTTTGCGAATTTCGCGGATTTTCTAACAAATCCACGAAAATTAGATCCAGTAAAAATATGAGGTATTGTCATTGCTTTATGCCTGAAAACTATGTGTGAAAATTGAGGGTTTTACATACACCTGCTTTAAGCTTACCTTGGGTGTAAACTCTTCCAACCAAGAGTAGGGTGAAGTAATGATCAAAATACCACCAGGTGCCACCAGAGAAGGCAGCCTGTCCAAGAACTGATATGGATTAGGAAGACGGCAAATCAAATTTGCCGCCAGAACACAGCCAAACTGCCCGAGATCACTGGGTAAGTTACAAGCATCTCCTTGGAAAAAGGATAAACGACTTCTATCCTGGAAAAAAAAAATGGAAATGTCACATACCCTCAATTTTCCTCCACCCCTCCCCCAATAGAATTAGCTTCCCTCTCCACATCTTAGATGCAAAATCCCCTGCATTCGTGAGTGACTACTAGGAAATCTTTTAGGTGGGGGAGGGGAGGGGGTTATTTAAAATCATAACAGCTAGCACACATAAAGTTGAAATAGAGGTAGCATGTGTACTACAGCTACCTGCCTACTCCCCCCTCCCCCACCAAAAAAAAAAAAAAAAATAACTATAATAAATCGGAAGGCTAAATAAAGGGGATGGTTTAAACTTTATCTAGGTTTAGTAAAATAATGCATTTTCCGCCAAAAAAAGTAACAATTTAAAAAGTAAATGTGGTGGGCAGATCAATACCTCAAAATAGTTGTTTTTTTATTAAAGGGATCCCCGACTGTTGGAACAAGTTGCCGTTAAAGTGATAGAAAAATAATCTGAACCCAAAATTTGTTGAAAACCGCGCAATATTATTTCAGTGTTAACGAAAAAACTGGCTACAAATCTCTGCCATTTTAGGTTTCAAATTACCCGCGCGCCACCATCTTGGATTTTATGACGTTTCATGGTTGCCCCTTTTGTTATACAACAAAAGAGCTATTGTTTACTGACAATAGCGGCAACCACAATACGTCATATAATACAAAATGGCGGCGCGCAGGAAATTTGAAACCTAAAATGGCAGAGATTTGTAGCCAGTTTTTTCGTTAACACTGAAATAATATTGCGCGGTTTTCAACAAATTTTAGGTTCAGACTATTTTTCTATCACTTTAACGGCAACTTGTTCCAACAGTCGGGGATCCCTTTAACGACTTCTCCATCTAAAAACTACTGTAAATCACTAAATCTTTGATCATGATGGCATATTGTACATCATTACCAAGCAAACAAGGTGTACCTACAATATCAGGGTCCACTTCTGCTGTGTGTTCTGACACAAGACTTCCTTCTGTTTGCACAGTGTAGGCTAATTTTCCATACATCTTGAGCTTGTTGCAGGCATCAATAAAACCATGTGAGAAATCAATCCCCACAACTTGATTAAATCTCTTGGCAAGTTCAAATGTAGATCGGCCCACGGCACACCCAATGTCAAGTGCTATACTTGGCACATTATCCTATAATGAGATTAAAACTTGGTGCTCAGATTTAGTTGAACCTACATGCAGTAGTAAAGTTGTAACATCACCACCACAAATTGTTAGCAAAGAAATGAACGTTATTATATCAATGGTTATTTTTTCACAAATATTTTAAACTTTTTGCAGTGCGATTACTTGAACCTGGGGCACTTTGAAGAAAACTGACCAATCACAATGTTAATAGCTGTTATTACAGTTGAGCCCGCACGCAGTCAAATATTCTTTTGTTTTTAAAAAGTATGCAAATGAGTTAGCTCGATTTCCGCCGCTCTCTCGAGTCCGGTCTTCGTTCTGGCTCATTTTCCAACAGCGGCTGGTAATCGAGCCTACAAATGAAGCGATTCGTCTAATGCCAGATTGACCATTCGCCTTGTTTGCATGTCAAACGGCTGATATCTGTAATAACTGCTATATTTGAGAACAAAGGAAGGTGATGTTTTTCGTAAACCGTACCAATGTAGCCTGCATGCAGACGACTCAAAAGGAATAGGAGTCGTCTGCACGCAGGCTATACCAATGTGACGTTGAAATATCCAGACAATACATCTACCACAAATCGGAAACCAAACAAAGTTGTGGAACTCCAGGGAAACTATCACTTGTTGATTGGTTGGTTTTGGCTAAATTTTGAGCGTTGGGTTCAAAGGTCACAAGAACGAGTTTTCAAGTTAGATTTTGTCTAATCAAAATAATAACAATTTGCCGCGAAAATGGGATCGATAGAGTAAAGACGGTTTAAGTATACAAATTTTAAGCTTACCTAATTAGTAAACGGCGGGTAATAATAGCCGAAGATATTGGGCTGTATCCTAGCTTCACCGCTTATTCAGCAAATGAGCCATGTATCACTCACTGCATGTTTTATAGTTATCACTGCGAGCAAATTAATTTAACGCTTGTACTTACCTCGGTATATTTGACGCATTCCAAAGCACAACGCTTTGGAAAATCAAGTGACTCGCTCGGTCCAAAGCCGTACGGTAGCAGCTCGTCAGGTTTGCCAAAATGGAAGATGAGATATTCGCCGATCAACTTTTCCGTCTCGTAGACATTCTCTTTTGCTTCACGTCTACTTGAAAGGTAACGATAAGCTAGGAATGTCAGAGCAGAAGCGCTAAATGCACTGGCAGACGCAATCACGAGATTTTTCTCCATGATTTTAACTGATCTGATCGATGAGGCAACCACACGTGGAAACAACTGCAGGCTGGTCTGCGGTTTGGTGGGGTAGGGAGGGTAAGGCTGCAATTGCTACGGAAGTTGTTCTACCGGAAGTCAGTCTATGACCTTTTATAGATGAAGTGACTACTGTAGAAAGTTTTTATTTTACGTACTCTGAAAACGAAAATATAATAATATTATACATCTTCTATCCTGTAAACGAGTGGAAACACTCATGTGATATTACTTTCCATTCCTTGTGATCCGTTATGACTTGACGGTATATTAAGTAATTATTCATATACTAAAATTTCCACCAAGGATACATCAACGGGGATGTAGCTCAGTGGTAGAGCGCTCGCTTCGCATTCCTGGCCGAGAGGGCCTGGGAACGAGTCTGCGAGAGGCCCGGGGTTCGACTCCCCGTATCTCCACGGCGGATTTCTTTTTTCTTTTTTTTTCTTCCTTCAACTTGCGTATTACCTTTTTCAATCATTACAGAAATTTTCTACAAAAAAAAACGACTTGAACAAATTTCCCAAATCTTGAGAAATACTATAAAAGCCGCGCGCATCCAACAGAAAACATGCCGAGACTCCGTCCAGCCAATCTCGTTCCCAGAGGCCGCGATCCTTTTGGTCAGCACCAAGGAATCACGAACTCTGGAATATTCTGGGCGCTTGAATTTATTTGAATTTTTTTGATTGGCTGTTGAAACACAATGGATTTGAATCGGAAGTGAACCCAAAATCAAAGATGGCGGACGTAGGCAGTAGTCGTCTCTGGAATTTACAAGGAGAATGTGGAAATCCAAAACCATCCGATGGATGTTTTGGTTGGAAAATCAGTTGGAGAATATACCGTTGCAGATTTGAAGAAGGTTACCGGTGTGAAAATCACGTCCGTGACCTCTTTCAGTGGCGAGTCGGCCGGTGAGTCGATCACACAAAACTCACCTTTGTAAATTATCAAGTAACAAAGAGAAAACAAGTCAACAGCTTGTGGTAAACACTTGTACTGCCGACAGCTGAATCATCTCAGTTGGTGATCGCAGTTCCGCCGGGATTATTTACTCGGAAACTGCAGGCTATATCGAAAGGACTGTACATGTACACACTAGCTAGCAGTATGTAGATGAATGTTGGACCGGCGTTTTCGTATGAAATACGTGGTTGCGATTGTATTTTAAATACCCTTCAGTTTACACGTGGATTTCCCTTATACAGAGTTTATACAGCAGTACGTGGGTTAAAGTGAGTGGATAATTAAATTACAAACTATTTATTCTGGTGGTCTTTTCTTTTGTTTACGCCTCTAGTTGCATGTTTAATAAGCTTTACATCCATGGAGAATTGTCTTATGCAAATAATTTGAGTTATACCAAATATGATTTGAACATGTATGATAAAATGATTTTTTACCTGTCTAAATTTACATGAGAAATATAAATTGTTAATCATATAAAAGTGACGGAGGTGATCGCTGTATCTTTTAGGGGTTAAAATTTGTGGTTTGATACCACTTAGGGGTGTTGAAATCTAAAATTACTACCGTTATAGTTACTCCGGTACCTTTTAGGGTTAAGCCGGGGAAAAAAATATGACAAAAACTATTTTTGTCTTAGAAATGGCACCTCTTAGGGGTGAAATTGAATTTGAGTCACAACCACAAAACAAGATTTTGGTACCTTTTAGGGGGTTCTTTTCGAAATTTCCGACGATCACCCCCATCACTTATTTGTGACTCCCACCGCATAGTCAAGAAACACTGATGTCTAGATCTAGATTCGTAGAGACCTTGTTACTTGTATATGGTTCAGGAGCAAATGTTGATGTGCTGGAAAACTGACCAGAAATTATTGCTGACCACTGTTTTTATATCTAGAAAAAAATAATATTGAGATTTATACCCTGGGGTTGAAAATCATGTTTTGTTACATATTATGATATTATCTTAGGATGTGTTTTCAAAGTAAAACCCCAAATAAACAGAACTTGAAAATTATTATTATTATTAATTTAATTATATTTTTTTTTTCTGGCATGTGGCCCTTGGTTGGACTGTATCACTCATCAATAAAACAGTCTAAATTGGCTTTTAGGGGTAAAAATAAACTTGAGCTCCACAAACGGATTATGGTACCTTTCAGGGGTATTTCCCAAAATTTCTGACAACAAGTATCCCTGGCCTGTCACTCTTATATGGGAGCCTGTCCCTACACAAAACAAGTTAAATATCCCAAAAAAGATTTTTATTGTGGAAAACCAATATTATAAACAGGTTGGTTGTAGTCCTGACTGCACAATGCAAAACACAGTTCAAAGTCTGGTTTTCAAGAAAGAAAAACTGAAAAATGTTGGATAATAAATCTCTTTTAGTTTGTAGAATTGCTGTACATTTTTACTTGACATATTTTGTAATTTGTCTCACCCTACACCTCACTAAAATACAGCAAGACTATTATTGAAATGATTTCATGGAACAATCTCAGACAAAAATTACATTCAATCACCCTGTTTTCCCAGCATATCTCTCTGCTCAGCCCTGAGGGTCTATAGCCAGAGAGGCTACTGATACATGTATTATTCTCAAGAATTTCATCTACTATGGATAATTTTATGGCAGAAGGCTAGGCACAGTCGTGCCTAATGATAAATGTTTTGATCTTTGGATCCAAACATCCAGATTCAAGTCTGGCAAGTGTCCTTGTGTTGTGTTCTTGGTCACAAACGTGCCTATCTCTACCAGTGTTTCAGTCAAATAATTTTAAAGTCTGTGCATCCACCTTGTATACCCAAGCATATACTATAACCTAAGTATATCGACTTGTGGACTGTCCTTTATAGGATTTGCAACTCAACTATGTAAATGTAATAAAGAAAGGAAGATGGTATATAGATGTATATGTGCATGCAAGCCTGGATCTACCAATGACAACCCTAGTTTGGAAACCCAGGGCAAATAATTGGGGCAGGAGGAAGATAAAACAGGCGACATTCTGTACACACAGATTTCGTCCATTTTATCTTCCTCCTGTCACAATTATCTGTTCAAATAGAAACCATGCTTCAAGTGAATTGAAATTTTTCTGCGACTACCTGATTTGACTCGGCCATTTGGCTGTCAACTTCTGATTTCATCGAACGATTTTCATATGACAACATACATTGTGTACTCATGTTGCACATACAAACTGACATAGTTCACACTTGATGACTCAAATGAAATATATTTATTGTCAGGCAAGACTAATTATTATATATATTTGTAATAAGTTTTGGTTAACAACAATTATTTTGCTAGCACATTTACTGGCTAGAATTCGTATCAAATCTTTCATGATTTCTTCATGCTTAGCAGTGACAATACACAAATGAACTTACAAAATTAAATGAAAATAAATAAAATAAATTATAAACTATATCTGACGAAGAATTACAGTAAAAATGCAATTAATAGAAGTTTTGCCTTTTAGATTTCTAAATAATTTTACATGTACTACATACATGCAACTCTTTACTCTTCACAAACAAGCAGAGGTAGCCTTGGCTACTCACGACGAAAATTATTTAACCAAAACTAAAAGCCCATCTACTTAATTTTCGCCTAAAATCGTGGGTATCCTTCAGGCTGGTAACTTTCACGATGTATTCCAGAACTTTCTGCTGGCTCGCATTCGGTATGGAAAAATCAAACACGAACGCATCATTCATTGAATTGATCTGTATCGAGTACTGTATCGAGTATAAAGACAGCAAAAACAGCATATTCTTGTCAATTAGAAAATTGAATACCTCATCGAGCTTTGGTAGACGTAACGTGTTGTTGTCTTAATAGTTCTCAATCCGTAACAAAGGATTCTTGACAAAGATTTGAGGTCTAAATACCCGATCGATGTAACATCAACTGCAGAAGCTGCCGCCATTATAAACAAGTGAGCCACAATCAGTTACAGCGGTTACTCTCTCTACGCATATTCAGAACACATTTATTCATGCTGACCAAAAGGATCGCGGCCGCTGGGAATGAGATCGCGCACGCGCACAAGCAGACCGGAACCAAGGATCCTTGGTTCCGGTTTTTGAATCGCCCAGAGCCGTTGGGCGTTCTGTCACCGCTGACCGAAACGCGCTGGCTCTGGGGACGAGATTGCCGTCCAGCAGTTCGACTGAAAAAAAAGGCCCGGGGTTCGACTCCCCGTATTTCACGCAGCGGATTTTTGCGAAAAGGAGTGTTCACTGCGTACAAACATTCCGTCAAATTTGTTTTGTTATTCAAATTTACCAACTATTAAACAAAAGAACTCTTTCATTGGCGCATTATTTAATAACAACGAGAGCTGAGGAACTGTGCAATAATTATCAGGAGGGGGGAGAGGGGAGGGTGGGGGGTTGGAAAATGGGCTTCATGTAGCCAAATATTAGGTAATACCCCCCTCCTAAAGGAGTAAATTTAGTTATTGCCCCCCCTCTAATCAGTCAGAAATTATGTACGACCCCCCCCCCACCTCACAGTATACACACACCTTTATACAAGTACCCTACATTTTCTCTACCCGCACCTGTGGATTAAAATCTTATAACAGAAAGAAGAGCTCCTACTACATTTTTAATTGTTGGACATCCGCGTCTGGAACAAACATCACCTCCGTAGCAATGTTCAACAGAACCATAGCAGAAGGAAAAGAGCATGTGTGTTAATATTTTCAGGTCCGGTGAAGGCCCGATGGGCCGGAAAATTTTTCGGTACCCATCTTATAAATAGGTATGGATTCACCAATGTATAAATATGTACTTGAAATAAAATGTTAAGCCCCCCCCTCTCTTGAGTGACTTATTTTACCTTGGGCCCCCCCTATCCTTGCTTTGATTTTACTTTATGCCCCCCCTCTGGTTTTCCAAAAAAAAGGGTGCAAACCTCGAGGTAATAGGTTTCTGGTTTTTAAGGGAGGGACTGGTCAATAAGTACAAGGAGGAGGGGGAGGAAAAAAGGGTGGGTCCCCTCGCAAGGGGGTGAGGTCAGTGACAAGCAAACTAAAACTAACGAGTCTTTTACATGTTTTTGGTAAGTTTTGTCCTGACTTTTTAAATATTTTGTTATCCCATTTATATTGCAATTGAACCCTTTACAGTACCAGCGGCATATATTATAAAGTGGGGGCAAGTTGAAGTTATCACACATTTTATAACCTTTGCTCGTCCCCATTATATTATCTGCTTCTGGAACTCAGAGGATGGAGATTTATTAGAAGACAAGACACAAGATGACAGCTGAAGCAAGTTTCAGTTTATTTATACTGTCTAAATAGAAAATGTTACATATTTGATAGTTCTAACAGCACTCTTACTGATAAATAACAAACATATTCATTCACATAACATGATTTGTGTTAAGTGGCCCAAGTAGCAACCATTGTCTTGTTAGACTAAAATAA